GAGGCTGCTTTGATGACTCCTACTGTTCATAAACACTCAAGGCTCAGTAAAAGGTGGAGGCAAGCACGTGCTCAATCACAGGATCAGTCCTTTTCTTCATCAGGGGTTTTGAACTCGTCAGTTGGGAGGCCTAGTGAGATTCAGGCTTCAAGTCAGTTGTAGAGTAGGGAGTCTCCTGTTTGTTTTGATTATGGTCATTTAGGCCATGTTAGCCATTTCTGCCCTTTGCATGTGAATGCTTCGGGTGTTTCAGAACCTAGTTAGACTTAATCTCTTTAGTCTAGTCAAGGGCGATATCGATACCACACCTGTATAGGCTAGGCTTCGAGAGCTTCGTGAGGGTCTACTTTTCAGCTAACATAATAGTATCACCCTACAGAGGGACTTTTGTGTTAGAGGCCGGTGATTTAATAAGTGAATCTTTTGTTGTTGACCGATGTACTGGTGAGCGTTGATACACCGTGATTATGTGTTGTCTATGTATATGTACTGTTGTTTGTTTACTCTCATGTGTTTTGGGCACGCAGTGAATCTTGAACTCTCTTTTATATGTGTAATGAGAAGTGATTCATGGATTGATAAGCTTAACAATGTTGTATACATGTTATTGTCTTATGAGATGGTTATGTAATGGCCTGTGAGCCTTGTTTTGTTTGGGAGTTAACAGTTGAGAATTGGTAACCCGTGGATTAGTGTAGTTAGTGGTGTTGTGCAGTGGGAATGAATTATAAGGCTTGAATGTGTTGAGTATTGAGGAATGTGAGATTTGGATTCTTGGGTAGTAAGGATGGTACTTGTGAGTGTGGTTTAGTGTTTTAGTTTGTTGGTCAATGAGTTTGTTGTGATCCTATAGATCTTGTTAAGGGCAATGTTTGTGTTGTGGTTGTTATGAGTTGGTATGGGTTTGCGGTGTTATTAGATATTGGATGGAGCTTACGAATGTGAGGAAAATTTAGTGGTTAGCTACTAGAGGTATTCTTTGGAAGGAAGTAAGGTTGCGTGCTCGGGTAACGAGTGTGGTATTGGTGAAAATCATTTTGTGTCCAGAATTGTCGTTGACCATATCAGTCTTGTGTTTGAGAGGTGAAGGAGTATTTTCCATGTAGGCATATGAGTGGTGGTCTCCTTGGAAATGATGGTGGTATGGCTAAATCTTGAGAAATCCGGTGAGATTCAAGGAATATGAGGACTTGTGTGTAGAACTCCATCTTGGAGCAAGTGGTGTTGGGTAGCATGTTAGTGTTTGGTATCGAGTGTAAAGTTTTACCGAGTTGGTTAGTCAGTTGGTTGATATCGGGGTTTGGTTAACACGTAGTCACCTTGGGAATAGCTTGGGCTGGTGTGCGAGGTTGTAAGGTTGTGGGTGCATTAGAGTGGTTTGGCGAGCAGTATGTCTCGTGTAAGTGGTTATGAAGCTTGTATAAAGATTGTCTTGAAATTGTGAAAAATCCTCTGGTTGGGGTAACATATTGTGAACTTTTTGTTTTGCGTGTGCAGTACGTCTCGTGTAGTTGATAATTTATGATGATGGTATGACGGAATGGAATTGCAAGATTGTGGATTCATTTGTTTTGTGTTTGTGCCTTATTGTGTTGATAGCACAGTTGTAATTTCTATTAATTGTTATTATAGAAATGTTATGTTTATGATGGTTGTGGAATCACTGTAAGGGTAATGGAAGTTGTTGGGTGACGGTGGAGGTTCACCAATTGTCTTATGTTGAGAAACAAACTCGGAAGATGAATTTTTCCTTGTGTTGTAGCCTCAGATGGCAATGTTGAACTATAATGTTTTGGATTTAATCTAAGTGCTAATAAAAGATTTCGATGCATAGTTTATTTGATTTAATAAATGCTGAATTTAACAAAGTATGATAATGTGAATGATTCGGTGTTCTGAGTAACACTTTATTTTATGGTTGGAAGATAGTTGCAAAAGAAAAAAAAAAAAAAAAAAAAAAATTGAAATCGAGAATGTATTTTGGTTGTGGAAAACTTCAAAGAAAAAGAGAAAATGTGGGAACTTTTTATTTTACATGGTTGTGTTGTAAATAATGTCATTTTTTGTGTGGTTGGTTCACCTCATGTTGCACTGCGTTCTTAATTTTGGGAACGAAATTTCCTAAGGTGGGGAGGTTGTAGCACTTGCATTTTTAAATCTTTTGGGAAATGTATTTGAATCCTTTATTTTATTTTGGGAATCTATGGTGTTGTTGTGTCTTGGTCTTGGAGGAGTACAAATCGATTTAAACTTGTTGAGAGCATTCGTTTACGCTTGTTTAAGTTGAAAAGTTGTTTGGAAACTTAGAACTCTTGTTCTAGGGTCGACACCAATCTTGTTGGTGTCGACACTTCCCTTTTGTTGTTGGCCTTAAGGGTGGACTCCAGTTTGGGAAGGGTCGACCCTTGTCTTGGAATTGCTTGCTGAAATTTGGTGTCGACACCAGTTTGGGAAGGGTCGACACCTTGCCTGTTGTACACTTTGCTTTTCTGTCTGAAGGGTCGACACTTGAGTGTAAATTTCAGCTTTTTAGGTCAGTTTGGGCCCTACTTTTGGGGGGGCTTTTGACCTGTTCTTTTCATTTGACTTTGGGGCTATTATTCTATTATTACATTGCTACTATAAATAGGTTCCAAACACTTATTCATTTCATTTTTCCTTCTCTTTTCTTTCTCTACATCGTGAGTTCTCTTCCTCTCTCTGAACTAAAGCTTTTTCACCCAAGATCTTTAGATCTACTCACCTAGAGTAATCTTTTCACCTTGGTCCTTTAAGAAAGATTGTAGATCTCGTCAAGGGCTTTTTTTTTTATCCGAATAGTTTGTGGTTTCGTCGCCAGTGATTTTTGGGTTGTTTTCTCTTTGCTTCAAGGGTAGGGATTTCTTTACTCATTTTCAATACCTCGTCTATAGATAGATATGTGATAGGTTTTATTGTATAAAAACTATATTCATTATGGATTTTCTTGAAAGCCGTAAAAGGGGATCTAATGTTTGATATTTGTGATTGAAATTGTTAAGTTGTTTCTTGTTTGGGTTAATTTCAGACATGATTTATTATGTTTGTGAAGAGAGGGAGGAAAACCCTAATTTAATATTATTGATTTAATGGATTTAAAAGGGAGGAAGTTGAATAATCTTTGAATTTTGTTAATATGGGTTGTATAATTGTGTTTATATCAAAAGAGAATAAAAAGAGAAGTAACCACGGTGTTGGTATTGTTTTACACTAAACATGTGTAGTTGAGTTGAGTTATGGTTTTGATACCAATGGAATTGGTTTTGTAAAATAAAGAGAATGGATTTGGTTTTGGTTTTGTAAAATGACGTGAATGAATTTTTAGAAAATGGTCGGATTTGGGGAAAAAAAAAAGGTTTTATCCTAATAATGTTTCACACAATTATTTTGTATAAATAATGGAATTGGTATGAGAAGTGTGAAATTGGATAGATATGTATATAAATGGTGTAGTTGGATAGTTGTCATCTCTTATCAATGGAAATATGGATTGTTTATCTATTTTGGAGATTGTATATCTATTTAGAAATAACTGTATTGAACTATCAGTGGAGGATAGTTATGATTATTATAAAAATTACATTAGGTGAATTAAAACTAATCTATTGTTGGTTGTCATTGAATATAACTATGTTTTAAATACATTGTATATGTATGATTGTTTGAGAGGAGAAATGAGATGTACTCCATGTTTGGGAGGAGATAAGGGATGGATTCCATTGAAATTAAGTTGGCCAGAGTGTCCTGGTGAAAGTCCCGAAGCCGCACGTATACATGAGTGTCGATTCCGCGGACGAAATTTTCGTAAAATGGCAGATTGAAGTGTTTGTGTGGTAATTGTGTTGATTTGAGAACCACTGAGTTGTAGTCTCAATTGGGTTGTTGAAAGATAATGAAATTGACTCATGAATTGAAATGAATTGTCATGAAATGAAGTAAGACTAAAATGGCTTGAGGTGTATCCGTGGCCTGACATTTCGTTATGAAAATGTGTATTCTTGGCTTATCGTGCTTAAGGCAGGTAGAGAAGAATTTATTTATCGTTATTGTCTCAGTGTATCTGTGTATATTATGGGTTTTGATGATTATGGTTTTGGAGGGCCAAGTTGTCTCATTTTAGTACAACAAAACTAACTTTTTACGGTACCAAATCAACGACATACAATAAATGCATGTAGTAGTTTCTCACTTTTACGACTTGCTTTTTTTGTATGTCGTAAATACTTTTCCAACTACGGCGTGTCTATTGCGTAGGCCGTAAATGCTAATAATGATGATTGTTTTACGGCTTACAATGTTAGCCGTAAATAATAAAACTTTCTATAACGTGCATATAGCATACCGTTAATACATCAACTATACACGACAAGCGTACACCAGTCGTCAAAAATATTAAACATTTCACGTTGCACAAAAAGTCAGTCGTTAAAAATATTACACTTTTTACGGCGCACAAAAGTCAACCGTTAAAAAGTACACTTTTCACGACGCACATATGTTAGCCGTTAAAAATATTTTACTTTACACGACACGCAATTTCTGTCATGAATAGTATGACTAAAATAAAAATAGGCATCAAAATAAAAATTTTGAGCACTAAACATAAAAAAAATCAAAAAAAAAAAAAAAAAAGAAAAGCCCTCAGCCCGCACTGTCTTTGTTTGTCACACTATCTCTCCATCTCTATGTGCTTTCATCATCTCCTTGCAAGAACATTACCATAGAAAATACTCTCCAAAGCCCTCTCTCTCTCTCTCTCTCTCTCTCTCTCTCTCAATCAAACCCCAAAGCCAAACCCAAATCGACATCAAAAGCTCCAAGAAGCAAAAGCCTCTTCAAGTTGAACACAATGGTGTGAAGCTATTGACTCAGACCTGATGTTCGATTCTGATTCATCTATTCCAGGAGTAACCATAACAGGTAGTGAGAAGGAGAATAAAGAATGAAGAAATGCAAAGAGAGAACTTTGAGAATAGAAGAACGAAGAGAGAGAGAGAGAGAGAGAGAGAGAAGTAACGATGAAGAGAGAGAAAACTGTCGGAAGGAGAACGCTTGAAGGAGACGGAAGAGACAAATGCATGCCACTCGGGGAAGAAAAAATCATCAACCCATCAGTCAGGTTTGGAAATTCAAACTAGGGTTTTGATTTGGGGATTTTCATTGAAAATTAGGGTTTTGATTGAGCAAATCAAAAATTAGAATTGAGTTTTAGGTTGTGCTTTATTTTTTTTTATTTTTTTCTTGAATGTGGGTTGGGAAAAGTATCTAAATCTGAATTGGAAAAATTAAAACGTGAATGTGAAATTAGGTTCTTGGGTTGAACACAAATATTTTTTCTTTTTTTAAAAAAAAATTGTTGAATTTAAAGAAATTAGGTTCTATTACAAAAATTAGGGCCCGATAGTTGTGATTCTATAAAAAAAAATAAAAAATAAAAAAAAATAATTTATGGAATCTAAAACTAGAGAATCCTACAGGAACTCCATTAGTATAAAGATGTACTTTATGGAATTAATTTCTTGAATTTATTATTATTATTATTACTCTGTTCAGGACCAGAGTTGGACTGTTGTTTTTACCTTGTGAGAATCATGATAACGTCCATCTCAAGCTTCAAAGAGGATGTGACAAATGCCTGGTTCTTGTTGAAGTGGTCATTTCCTAGCTCTGTTCTGAAATTAAGCCGAGGTTAGTTGGTGGTGGTCTGGAATTTTTGTGTGGATTCTGATTTGGTGTTAATTTGCAAATTACTCTGATTTGTGAGCCGCCAATTTGTAAGGATATGGGTTGAGATATGTGAGGCTATTTCATAAATATTGAGTGAGATGGTGAACTTGTGGGTTGAGCGACTGGAGCACTATCATTTATTTTATCTCACAGTTTGTTAATGCAGGTTCCTAGCTTGCCACTGTTTTTTAGGGAAGGTGGGTTTAGTGATGGTGAGCCCCTATATTAGGACTGTGTGTGAGGAGGGATTATCTGTGCTGTTGAGGGTTGAGTTTGGTGAGAACCTATATTTAACTGTTTGTTTCTGGTGCAGGTTCTCAGCTAGTCTAATTTGGGGGAGTTATTCTTTGTGGGTTGAGTGAATGAGGCATATAATTGTTGAGTAGTTTTTGTGTTTATTTATATCATGTAGTTAACTGCTTTGTTGTGGAGTTTGAGTGTTATTTAAGGGTGGAGTGATGGCTAGCAGTCCATGTGTGCTTTTTACAGTTAACTATTGTTGAATTGTTCAATTGATTTGTTGATTGCTTGGCTCTTTTAGAATCATTTGACTGAATGATGGCCTTGAGAAAATAATCCATTTTGTAGTAGAAATATAATTATAGATGGTTCCAATTGATCCCAATTGAGTTCGGCTCGAAACCAAGCAATTTCCAAATGCTTCCTTAATTTTAGTTTTCCTTGCTCCTGTTGTAGACTGCATCAAAACATAGTTTTCTCCCTCGAGGAAAATTGATGAAGTTATGATTTTAGGTGATTATGGGATGCCTACTAAAATTTTAGTGCAAGGGAATGCCATATTTCATCATTTTTGGGCTTACGAACCAGAGTGATTTTGCCTATTTCAAGATAGGGGTGAGGGTGGCTTTGACGAGAGCTCAGGGAATTTGTCAATTGAAATTGATTTTGTAATGAGAAGCAAAAATTTGAAAATTCATTAACACCATGTGATCAGATTTGCTAAGTCCTTTGAGCAATCTTACTCTCATCATTGTTTTGGCATATTGTTGTTGATATGCAATTAAAACTCTTTTGAAAAATAAAATTTGATATTACAATGCTTTGAACAAAACTTTAAGGTATTGTCCTGGATGGAATTGCATCTTGAGGGCAATGTTCTAATTATTTTTATTTTTTCCTCTAATTATTATTAGAGATACCATCACCTGAAGAAGCAGATGTCTATCGGAATGTGCAAGCTTGCCTTGAACTCCGACAAAGTTATGTATTTAGAGAAGATATTACTCCATGGGAGAAAGAAGTTATATCCGAACATTATGTCATCATCGGCTGGTTCTTTTGGAACAAGTAGATCCATCCCCTTCAATTTCTTTATAAATTGAAAGTATGCTAATTTTATTATGTTGAGAAATAATGATATGATGTTTGATGTAATGCTTATCTGGACATCTATTCAGAAATTCAGTCTTCACTTGATGCTTAATGCGGATAGGGAGTTCCTAGCTCAGAAAAGTGCACCACACCATGACTTTTATAATGTCAGGAAAGTTGACACATGTTCATCACTCGGCATGCATGAACCAAAAACATCTTTTGAGCTTTTATAAAATCAAAGTTGAGGAAGGAGCCTGATGAAGTAATGGCTACATTTTTATTTTTATTTTTATTCTTTTGGTTTCCCTGCTTGTTTCCACTATGAGATTTGATCTGGGAATTTTGGCCTTGTTGTGCTTTCTATGGTCAGTTTCTAGCCACATAGCAAAGTCAAACTTGACAACTATTAAAACGTAAACGAATCCTTGCTTAACTAACTAATGATAAGAATTTCATTTATGAAGTTGATATTTGTTGCAATTTCACTTAAATTTGAAGCTTTCTTCTGCTTCTTTTTTCAGGTTGTAATATTTCGAGATGGAACATACCTGACCTTGAAAGAGGCTTTTGAGAGATTGGATTTAACTAGGTAATGAAGTAATCCTCTAGAATTTTTAATTTCATCATCCACTGTATCATCATTATCATCAAGTTATCTCTCCTTTTTTTTTTTTTTGGTTGCTGTTGTTGTCATGTATATTGGCTTTTGTGAGATTCGTGGAATAATTTTTATTTTGCAATTGTTCAAACAGGTATGACCTGAATGTTGACCTTTTAGATGTTCATGCCGACAAGAGCATCTTTCATCGTTTTGATAAATTCAACTTAAAGTATAGTCCCTGTGGTCAGAGTAGGCTAAGCGAGATTTTTCTATGCAAGAAAACCTTATCCGGGGTATGTCCTGTTTGTTTTCTCATTTGAGTGAGATGTTGAAGTTGCATCTTAAGAAAGGGTTTTCTTTCTGTTCTGTATGATTTCCTCCTTGAACTTTCTGTAACTGCTTTGCATTAGGTATCTTCATTTTGAAATCCAGAATTAGGCTTAAATAGTTGAAACAGTTCTTTTGTTCGCAATTAGTTGACAATTGGTCGGTTTGGAAGAACTACTGACAAGTTTGTTAGCAATTCTATTATGTAGCAATAGATGATCTTAGAATCGTGGTGTCAACCTAGTTGTCTAAGCAGCAGAGACACCGCTATGGAGGGGCCATGTTGTTGGCAAGCACTCTTAACATTGAGAAATGTGTTGGACAGTGCCTAAAATTTTTTAAAAGAAATTTAATCCATACACTGGCCGATACACACTTTTTATTATAGAAAAAGAAAAAGGTTGTTAGCAAGATATGTTGTTAGAAAAGAGTGTTAGTAATAGTATATAGTGAACAACTATGTGCATGACACTTGTTAAGCTTCATTTTCCAGGTCATGCAGTTGTTAATATAGAAGTCTGAACAAGTCAATCTTGATTATACTATTACTAATATAATTATCATATGATCCACATAATTATCTACTAATATACACGAAACATCCATATATTGTGTTTTTTTGCCATGTCCCTATCCTACTATAAAATCACAGTTGCCTTGTCCATGTCATGCCTGTGTCTCTGCTACAAAGATCTCTCTCTTCCTCCTGTATATCTTCATGGAAATGTCTATGTTTTTGATTCACTTGTCCCTTGATATCAAACACTAAAATTTGTTACAGAAAGGACCAGATAAAGATGATTTTACTTAAATGTGCCTCCCAATTTAAAAGATTTTTTTATGAGCTTTAATATTGATCAATATTGAAAGCGACTCTCTCTCTCTCTCTTATAAATTAAGATACTAATTAAGAAGCCTGCTTGTGCATTGTGTCTGCTATTGACCAAAGAGCTCTAAATTATTGTGTGGATATCAACCAAATCACCCTATAAACCCAGGTTCACTCAAAATTATATGTTTTTGTTGACAGGATTAAAAGCATGGGATTGGGATTGAGATTATTAATCCCTGGGCCCAATAATCCTGTGTTTGTTTTGAAATTTTGTTTCAGGATTATTAATCCAATGGATATGCTTGTACTTGGGTGGGTGTATATGTGTGTGTTTGTGAGATGAAGTTATTGCCAAAATGACTCATAATCTTGAAGAAAGCTTTCATTTTTTTATCTGTAACAAATTATCTAATAAAATTTTTATACTATTATCTTGAATACTGATGATGGGTTTCCCTTCAAATGACCCTGAAATTCAGATTAATTTGAATAATCCTATATCATTAGTCTGTATATGAATATTCATGGATAATGCCTAATTCTTAAATCATTTTGAAATTCTTATTTTCATTATAACATTGCTAATTTTTCATTATGACATTGCTTTTATGGGGCCATTGAATTATCTTATTAATTTTGGAAATGTTTTGTTAATGTTTTAAAATTTCTTAATCATTTCTTAATACCTCAAGAAATATTTTTGTCCCTGAGTCGTTGGTTTTTGTACTTATGTGAAGTTTTCTTTGTCATGCAGACAAGAAATGCAACAGGGTTAGTTCCTCTAGCTATTGTCGCGGGTTTAGATGCCTTAACACATACATTGGGCACCCTCGTCCCTATGATAAGAGCAAGTGGATTTGCTATAGGTGCAGTTGCAACTGCTATAGGAACTGTTGTCGGTAGTTTTAGATAATCTCTTAACAGTTGTCGATATGTTTAGAAAGTTAGATATGCATAGTTTTGGATGGTTTAAACTTTTTGTATAGTTTAGAACTTAAGGATATAGTTTTCGAATGTTTAGAATATATAGACAATTGTTGAATGTTTATAATTTATGGATATAGTTTCTTTTTGATGTTTCAAACAATATTTTGGTGGTTGATTGATGTTTTGTGATCTTGTCTGTAATATTTGTTAGATTGTACAAAACTGGTCAAATAGAACCTGTTGAATTTAAAAAAAGAAAAAATTGCATATTCTACGGCAGGCATAATAAGTCATTGTATTACATATTTTACGGCGTGCAATTAGCGTCATTATTTGTCTCACCAATTAACGACGTGCAAAAGTAGTTGTAGAAAAAGTAACAATGACGCACAAAATTTGCCGTTAAATAGTTTTTAACGGCGTACGAATCATGTCATTGAAAGTGAATGAATTTCCATGGCTGGTCATAATATGACGTGCGTTGTATGTCGTAGAAGGGTTTTTACGGTATGCATTGTGCACTGTAAAAATCTTTTTTTGTTGTAGTGTTTGTTGAGTAAATAGTTGTTGGTTGCCTGTTGTTTTCCTTTCGTACTAAAGGTATATATGTACATATATGAATGTATTGAAAACGGATGTAAGTATTGTATTGTGATTGTGAATAATGTGAAGAACATCGAATACATATGAACATGTTTCAAAAAGACAAATCAGGTATATGTCCGGAAAGTGGGAGAAAATATAAAGGGCTTTGTGAAATTGTTTTCAGGAACTTGCTATTGTCATATGAATTTTGGAAAAAAGATAACAAGAAGAAAGAAAAGTAAATTGCTTATGTTGTTGAATGAAATAAATGATTTTGAGAAAAGTTCTTATATAAGTATATTTCTATATAAATCATCACATTATGTATATGATATGATTTAAAGCATTCATGATCATAGATATCTGTATGTTGTTATTGTTTAGGATCATATTGGGGTCCCTACTGGACCTTATGTCAGGTGAATGTCAAGAAGTGTTTCAAGATCGATAATCTTCTTTATGTGTTGGCCACGAGGCCTTTTAATTGTGGACGGAATGCCATTGATGTAAAATGGTTAAATCCTTTCTTTTAATTTAAAAGATGTAAGCCTATGGACAATTAATTTATTTTATTTATTTATTTTAACTCATATTGCATTCACTTCATATTCGAATGAGAGAATTTTTAATAATAGTACTCGTTATTGTATTGAATTTCCGCGCATGATCTTTGAAATTGTATTATAATAAAGGATTTTGTAATGGTATCCGTTGGCATAAAAAGCGGTGCATGACATATCTCTTGTTGCATTCATTATGTATTCGAAAGAGAGAATCATCATTTATTTATCATCGTTAATGTATTGAACTTCTGTACATTATCTCTGAAATTGTATTATAATAATGGATTTGATAATGAAATTCATGAAATAAAAAGTGGGGCATTACAAAATTTGAATTTAATCTCATACATATCAAACAACTTATTTTTAATTCAGCACTTCAATTTTTATCAAATAACTTTTCAACTTAAAAACTTCAACATTCAGTTTTCAATATTTAATTTTAAATTTTAAGTTTTAAGTTTTCAATTTTTAGTATTATCAAACACCACCTTTAGTGCTCAAATAAATAATACCTTAGTGTACATTGGTGTGTAAGTTTTGTATGTTATTATATTGAGGGTTGTTTCAATAGGTCATCTAGGTATCTAAATATAATAGTGTCTAGAGTTATGATCTAAAGATAGGAAACGAAACAGATCTATATTGAGCCTGATCTAAACACTGTTGAAAATTAGACTTTTAGTGGCGTTTCTGAAAACGCCGCTAAATGTGCTGCATAACGGTACAGTGACGTCATGCTTGATTTTGCGACGTTTTAAAAACGTCTTGATAGGTCTATTCAATTTTAAAAATATAACCGTTGGCAATATTCTATAGTGGCGTATAAAAATGCCATTATAGCTTCATATTTATTTTATTTTATTTTTTTGAAATTGTGCTAATTCTGTGAGATTTAACTAAAAAAAAACCTGTAATAAAGATGAAAAATATTCAATATATTAACTAAATTTAGGTAAACATAATACTGGATCAATTCATGCTTCTCAATATGCAAAAATATTTCAATTTCAAAATGAAATAAAGTTAAACTAATGCCTAGTAGTAAGTTGAAAGTTATTACAAAACAAATCAGAACAAAAGATGCAATTCAAACTAATTATACATACAAGTACTATGAAAGACCAATGCCTTTCAGGTTTAATTTTTCCCAGTAGTGTTTGTTTCCTGAGAAATTGTTGGGGAATTGGTTGCCAACAGGGGAGAATGGTTTGATGTCAGGAATTGAACTAGGAATTGGACTCATTGTTTCAGTTTCAGAGTGACCCATTGCTTGAAACCCATTGAACAACCTTGGAGAACCAAAGAAAGAAGAAATGGGTATGGCGTGATTTGGGGGGAGAGAAGCTAGAGGGCTCTGGTCCGCCATTAGAGCTTGCTTGGTCGTCACTGCTCTATATCTATTCCTCAGCATAATGACCAAATTCAATAAACTCCACTGCAAATCACAGATTTAGAACTTAAGATAGAGAATCAGAAAAAGTAAATCATCTTAAGGATTAAACTCAATGATGAGAAATGTTACCTGAAACTCAGAGAATGGAAAAGTCTCCTAAATTTCTTTAGCTTCCATGGTTGACTTTTTTTTTACTCCTTGATTTGTCTGTGTGATCTTGTTCCATCAGTGAGAACAAGAATCGATTGACACTCGCATGCAAGCCATGCAATCAACGTTGAGCTGCTCTGCCATTGACATGTGTTGTTGATCTGTGGACTCTCAAGTTTGTGCATTGAATTTTGCTCTGTTCTCTCTTCTCTTAGTGGGTTTTCATTTTCGTTGTCATCAATTACTTATATGCTGAGTAGAGAAAAGAGATAAGTTAGAGAGAAAAAATGTTCCATGTTGAGGGATTGCTTCACAAATAACTCATAGTTGCAAGGTTTGTAGAAAAGGCTTGCCAATCAAGTCTCATTCCAGATCCGGCTAAACAGCACAAATAATAAAGAACAATGAAATTGAAGACTAACCAATCGAGGCTACATACAGTACCAAAATGAGAACTACGAGTAATTATGAAACCTTAAAATACGTGCCTTCAACCTAGATGCAACATTACCAGTGATCTATCAGTTTCGTGGCTCGGGGATGGACTAAAAAGAAAAGACCTCAGTTGATAATGGGTGATGGTTCAAAACATGGGATTAAGGGATTAGAGATTCTTTTATTGCTTGGCAAAAAAAATAAAAAAAATAAAATAAAATTATTCAATCTCTAATTGTCCTAAGATATATGTTAAGAAATGAATCCAGCAATGCATATCAAGCAATCTAATAGAAATTATATGAAAAACTTAGCTTGACAATTTAGCATAACATATGTAACAATCCAAGTGGCAAAGAGAACCGACCTTCTAGTTTGTTGCTCCTCTAATGCCTTTGTTCTGTATATGACTTTTATTCCCCGTCAAAGAAATTAAGAGATTTTAGAAATTTGGAAGATCTAAAGCAGAAAATCAAAACAGTTAAGGATAACCAGTGCATAGATGTAAAGAAGCAACTAAAATGGATTCTAGGACTTTTGATACGTCAGGGGTTGCAGGCTTTCCTTTAACAAATTGGAAAAAGGTTCAAACACCAATAACCTTATGATAGAAGATCCATGGTAGAGTCTGCTCTAAGCCAGTAGAAGTGCTTGTAGTAATACATAACTACCATACAATAAGTACAGAAAAAGTCATAAATTGCAATGATGACATTATCATAAATAATAACACATGAGTGCAAGAGCCTGACTGAAAATCAAAAGAAATTATGATATTGATTTCTTCATATGTACCTAAATATCTTTATACACCTTTAAAGCCTTAAAGAGAGGAAACATAAATCAATACACCCATCGTAGCCGAAAAAGTTCAGAGTTCATATGAATGAGAGCTGAAATTTCATATTTTCTACATATCTTGTTCAATTTCAAGTTTATTTCTACATAATTTTACAACAAATTGTCTAAATGTATTATACAATATGCCAGATATTTGTTCATGATGCGTCACCATATCCATATCCATATCCAACTTTTGGACACATATCCCAAGATCATAAGGTTTCGATTTATGAAGATCTAACACTTGGACATGCACTCAAACCTAATACTTGTATCCAAGTGCATCTAAGATAGGCGTTGGGGAGGCATGGGTGGAGAAATTGATTTGTCATTATTTACCATATTTGCAGATGAGTTTTTGGACAACTATTAAAAGCAATTGAGACCTGCCATAGTTGGGGAAAAAAATTAATAATAACCAACACACATATTGGAATCTCATATGTATATAGAGAATGTCTACCTTTTCATTCCTAATGTCCTCTGCATCCAAGCTGACAGGTGTCTCCATTGCAAAAAGTGCTAGTATTTGCAGGAGATGATTTTGCATTATATCTCGAATGATTCCATGGTTGTCAAAGTAGCTTTCGACAACAAAAAAAAAGTAAGGAATTTTTTTTTCTACTAAGTGCACCCCAACCATTTGAAAAGAAGTTATTTTCCTTCATTTTCCTCTTCCTTGTGTTCATTTTCTTTCATTTTAAAAGAAGTCATTTTCCTCTTCCTTCTGTTTATTTGCCTTTTATTTTATGTATGATCCTCTGTACACTTCGATTTATTAAAATAAAATGCTATACAACATTTATATATAATCCCTATTTGAATCTAATGTCATAAAGTAAAAATGGGTTGAATATGACCCTTGAAAAGAAAAAAACAAACGACAATAAGAGAAAAATAAAAAAAACAAAAAAGCAGCAAAAGTTCAGAATGAAATCAGGGCAGCACTATTGAACTTCAATAAATAAATAACAAAGAAGCTGAATAATGATATACTAAGCAACTATTATACTATAAATTTATCTAACTTGGGTAGAGTTAACCTCCAATTATCAAAATGTCAAATCCTAAGCAACTAGATCAAACACATAATGATTAAAAAAAGAAATAAGCAAAACCCCAATTTCAGCAACAAATAAATAGGTTAATCTTAGTCATATGTAAATTCCACAAACAAATTCAAATCAAACTCACAAATTAATGCTCAATGGTTAGAGAACTAATAAAAAACCGCAGGTTTCTAGCAACAAGTAGCTTAAAATGGATAGCTCTTAAATTCACAACATGTTAGGCAGCATCCAGTAATGCCAATGCAATGAATATACATGAAAATCCTAATAATATACTTAAATTCACATAATCTTACCGCAGATTGTAATAATATAAAGCATCATATTGTTTTACAGAATACTAGTGGTTTGAACATTGATCATATATTAATGGAATGCCAATGTGCGACCTTTAACAAAAATAAGAGAATTGAATCTAGAACAGTTCACTATCAATTGTATTGAAGCACCACAACATTGAATCTAGAATAGTTCACTATTGTAAATAAATTCCAGTTTATTGCACCACACAGAGACACACAAATAACTATAACAAATACCTGAAATGAAGCATCATGAAGGGCCTGAGCAGCCGCCATACCGGCAAAGTCACCACTTATGACACTGACTGAGGGTGAGGCACCATGTCTCCTCTCAACATTTGAATAGTAAGGAATTACAAAAAACAAAATGAACTTAAATTCTCATATTGGGCCTTGGAGCTTAACTGGCACTACATCAAAAACAAATTCATGCTTTTCCACAGATTCTGTTAGGTCAACCTGCTAAATTTTGAGATATAAAACTTTTAACAACATATATGAAGTTCGAAAAAATTAGAACACAAAATCTATAACTGGGATAGCTTTGATATGAAAAAGGTCAAAATAAGAAAAGAGAATGGTAAAATAAAATTATATATGTTCATGTTAAATAAGGACAAACAACAATGCATACAATTATATTGAAAATAAAGAACGAGGGCAAGGAGCGTTTACATCAAATTGAAATTTCAAAATAGTTAAATTTGCATTAAATTTGCAGTGTAAGGCTTGACATCACTGTTCTTTTTCCATTAAATTAAACTGTGCCTATGTCATTTGTAGAAAAAATCAATAAACAACAAATGCCACAACCATTCTATGTAATTAAGAACAGAAACTTAGAAGGGGCTGCTTCAGAAAGACATTCCACCCTGACAAAAAAGGATGTTTGGCTATGACAAAAACAATCTTCAAAGTAACCACTTCAAGAAATGGCATGAAATAACTGATAAAGTGATAATAAAGGCTTTATTTATTTATTTTACAACAAATAAGAAACATAATCAAGCATTTATTAAGAGAGAAAACCAATGGAAAAATAATACTAGAATCAACTTACGTACATATTTTGGAAAATTGTACAAAATGCAAATAAGGATTTGAACCTAAAGCGTTCAAATCAGACACTAAGGATACATAAAGAACATCTGATAACACCATCAAGCAAAAAATTACAAAATATGCAAAATTACAAGTTCTACAAACTGGCCATTTGAGAAGAAAATCACATGGAGAAAGTCTGGTCAGACAAGAAACCAATCTCTGTGTTATCACTAGAGAGATGCGCTTCTACAAAAGGTACCCAGCTTAATGCTTGATCAACTACATAGGAAGATCACCAAGTGCCTCCACAGTAGCAATTATTACAAGCTTAAAACAGGATACCTCAAGGAGCACATCATTGTCTGCTTTGGCTAAGATGCATCATTCTAGAGAGAGAAGGCATAAAAGGTAGCAATTCAGAACTGGAGGTCTGACCCTGTAGTATGTCATATTTGTGGCATACTAATGAATCATTTGAAAAAATTTAAAACAATGCCCAAAGTGTGCCCTATTCTCACTGCTTCTGCAACAACATCATCTCTAAACATGTCATAAATGCTACACCCAACCATGACCACTAAAAAATTTAAAAAGTCAAAAATAAAAAACTCAAAAGTGACTAATTCTCACCACTCAAGAGTTTGATTAAGCAAATCCATGATTTGAGCTTGACTGGTGTTGGCTGTAAATTGTAATTCGGGACTAAATCCCCAAGCAAACAATAATAGATAAGTCAAACAAACTAAAGGTAATTCATGGTTACGACTCATAATTGGATTGGGACTAGAGTTTTGTTTAGCTGAATTGAGTTAAGTTGATAGTTAAAGACTTGCTACGTGATCAATGTAGAAAGACAAATAGGCACCAGAGGAAGAAGATCTAAAGTAGATAAAATAAAAATGTAGCTCAGAACTTCCGGTATTAAAAAATGTTCAAAATTTAACAAACCTCATCTGGAACTCAAAGATACTTAATTTTATTCCCCCGAATGTAGCATTCTGGCATTCTCCAAAACCTATCTCCATCCTGCATTGAATTTTCAGTTTTAGGTTCAACAAAAACTCCTAAATATCAGAGTTCCAAGCAAAGGGACAAAATTGATTAAAAAATATAAAATACCTTTGAGGTACATATGACTTCATGAAGATGGATATTCATCCAAGTATCACAATTCACCAAATGCCCATTGTGTGTTTCCCCATTTTTAAGTTCCACTAACTGTCAAAATTATAGCATTAATTAGGGAGCTTAAAAAAATATAATATGCTGTTACTGTAAGTTTGCTTCGCTTCTTCAAGCTCTACCCCTTACTAACTAATTTGACAAACTTAAACTCTCAAAAACTTGACCCTCCATGCGATTACTGGAAATTCCTAGGAAAAAAATAAAATAAATTTCAACTCTTAACTCCTACAATTCATGTTCTTTTTGTTTCTACAAGCAAAAAAACTCCATGATTTAAAAAATAATAATAAAATAATTTAAAATTAGCCAAAACTTGTTGGGGATGCTAGATTCTTGGCTATTTGGGAGCCAAAATCGTGAGAAACCTAACATCATATTTTAATAAATTTCCTTTCCTATATTTCCTTCTAACAAAGCAGAGCAATAATTTAAATTCAACCCTAGTTTCTTTACATCTACATTTTCTCAGTAACCAAACAAAGACTACGTAAGTACAAAAATGCTCTCAAAAGACAGGACTCTCACCATAGGATGCCCCTGTGCAGTCTTGAGAAGAGAAAGTGGAAGCTGAAATAGAAACAACCAAATCATTAAAAAATGATACCACAGATCTCCAAAGTACACCAAAACAAACCAAATCATTAAAAAAATGACACCATAGATCTCCAATGATACCACTTGCCTCTCTCTCACCCAGAGAGAGACAGAGTGCACAAAGATGGCTGCACAGTGGTGAGGTGGTGGTGGAGTGAAACACAGATGAGAAGAAGATGAAAAATGAAAAAAAAACATATATATTGGAAAAGAGCATTAAGCAATTTTGCCCCCCTAAATTAGTTCCAGCACAACACCACATGCCTAAATAATGCATGGGCTTCACACACTCTTATTTTTGAATTAAGGGTTTCTGTTTGTACTACAAGGACCACAGGGATTTATGAGGAAACATGTATTTTAGAATGAAAATCTTATATCTAAAAGGATATTGTTTCGCATGAAAATTTTTAATGAGTAAAGACTATATATTTTTGAATGAGAAATTTCAAATCTCAAACAAATATTTTCGAATGAGAAATTTCAAATCATAAACATATATTTTTGAATGAGAAATCTCAGATCTGAAACATGTGTTTTTGAATAAGAAATTTCAAATCTCAAACATATTTTTGAATGAGAAATCTCAGATCTAAAACATATGTATTTGAATAAGAAATCTCAAATCTCAAACATATTTTTGAATGAGAAATCTCAGATCTGAAACACATATTTTTGAATGAGAAATCTCAGATCTGAAACACATATTTTTGAATGAGAAATCTCAGATTTGAAATCTTAAGCTTATGTAAACCTTAGGAGAAAAATCGACGAAAGGAAAAGCTTGAGAGAGAGAGAGAATACGAAATTGAGATTGTAGACGGTGGTGCTCACCTTAGTCAACGGTGATAATGGTGGTGGCGGTGGAGCTTTGAAATCGAGAGAGAGAGAGAGAGAGAGAGAGAGAGAGAGAGAACTTTGAAATCGAAATCACTTTGAGATTGGATCTGAGATGAAACTGAGCTGAAGAAGGTTAAATCTTAATCTTTGAGACTGAAGGGTTTAGAGAGAGAGAGAGAGAGAGAGAGAGAGCGATCGAGTGAGTGAGTAAGTGAGTGAGAGATTGAGGGATTGGTTTCTCTGAGACTGAAGGTTTACCAGATTCAAAATGAGGGCTTGAAGAGAGAGAGAGTGAAAAGAGTTCTGATTCTCATAGAGCTAAGAGAGAGGGAGGAATAACATATTATTTTAACACACGTGAAGGAATTTAAAAAATGACTTCTATTCCTTAAACGGTACCCTTTTAATCAAAATAAAATGCGACGGTTATAAAACATCGTTAAAAGTTAGAAATAGTGGTGTTTTAAAAAACGTCGCTAAATAAACGCCGTTAAATTCTATATTTCCTATAGTGAAAGAAGGAAAGGTTAAGAGTAGCTACCTCTAGAAACTGAAAACTTGTCAATGCCAGAGTCCTACGCCGACTACATTAAGGTAAAGGTCAAAACCTCTAGATACTGTTCTTATTTTGGAAGTAAAGTTGGTCTAAAATTAATTTTCTCCAATCCGCTTTGCTTTGGACGAATGGCGGATTGAAGGTTCCTAGGTCGTAACTGAAACACGAGCACCCCTACTAGCAGTAGTTTCATGTAGCTCTTTGTGCTTCTTGTATAATGGAATTATATTTGACTCTTCAATTATCATAGTCGAGAACCTTATTAATCAATATTTAAGCCTTGGTTGAGGTGTTACTATAGTGGCTAGGCAAGATTGGATTAAAAATTCTGAATTTGAAAGGTTATTGTTGAGTAGCATTCACTCTTTGATCATTTTCTCTCACCACACTTTGAATCTTGGTATGAGGCTGGAGTTATTGAAAATCTTACTTTCAGAGTTTCAATTTGGACACAAGAACGACCCTAAACGGAGTCCGGACAAGAGTTATGCATGTTTGAAGTTTGTGAATCTATCATGTATGCATAGTTCGCTCGAGCACAACTTTCACTGCTCGAGCGGTCTATAAACCTTTCCAGCTCTAGTTTTCAAAATTGTCTAAGCTACTAGAAGCCTTGATTCATCGCTCAAGCGCACTTTTAACTACTCAAGCGGTCTAGCCAATATCATATCTTTAAAAGTCACTTTTTGGATCAAATCTCTTCATTTCTCACTCTCTCTTCTCTCTCTTCTACCATTTTTGAGTTTTTAAGCTTTTTAACCTTGATTTCATCTATTTCTAAACACCTTTGACCCCTAGTTCCATATACCAAAAAATAGAGCTCGGTGAGGGCTTTCATTTAATCTGGACGGATTTTTGTTTCGTCGCTGATGATTTTTGGATTATCTCCTCTTCACTTCAAGAGGTAGGAATTCTTTTGCTTCGCTTTATACCTCTTTATAGATAGACATGTGGTAATTTTTATTACATTTAAATATATATTTGTTAAGAGATTTTCCAAAAGCATGAAAGGGGCTTTGGGGTTTGAGCTTTAGGAGTTGGAAATGTATGATTGATGGTTGATTTGGTATGTTGGGAGGTAGTTAATCATGGTTATATTGATTGTAGCCAAAAGCCCTAATTTATTATTAAGAATTAATAAACAAAAATGGGTAAAATTGGGTAATAAGTGAATTATGACTTATGATTTTTGAACAAGTGCTCTAGGAGATTGAATTAATGCTTGGTTACAAAAAAAAGAAAAAAGAAAAAAAAAGGGATTTTTGTTAAACAAAAAGAGGTTTAGCTATGGTTTGGAAATGTTGAGGGTTTGGAATAATTGGTTTGGTTTTTGAACATAAAACGATAAGTCTAACTCTTTTATGAAATGAAATGAGAAATTGTTGATTTGAAAAGGTGGAATTAGTTATGGATTTATATGGTATGAGTCGTTTATCTATTTATCTGTTTAGACATTTTTTCCTTGGTCATCAGTAGAGGATGGCATTGTTGTTGTTAAGTAGATGATGTATATATATTACACTCACACGTTATTATGTAGTTTTGCATGTTGTGCTATTATTATGTTGTGTGGTGGTTCGTTTCCCTCCTTGTGAGGCCGGTAAAGCATGGCGCCTTGACAGAGGTTCCTCGTCCCTTTTAGTTTACAACTGGTAAATTGTGAAAGGAGGTTCGTTTCTCTCCATATTGAGTAGATACAGAGTGGTGCCTTGTGATATGTTCCTCTCATTGGGCTTGCACCCGGTAAAGTGTGACCTTATGTATTATGTGGGTTGTATCATTTGCCATCTGTGTTGTAGGCCAGTGGAAATGGAAGTATGTATTATGTTCAGTTAATTATATTTAGAAATATATATTTCTCGATATTTCTGTTATGGGCGTTCCTTGGCCTTGGGCTTATGGCCAGGGAATATAGTAGATGCATTGTTGGATAAGTGTGTGTAGTGGGTGAGTTGTGAGATTAGGCTATGACATGTATCTGTGAACATGCTTTTAAAACAAATGTGGAGACAAAATTCCTTTATATTAACGTGGAGGTTTAGTTAACCAAGGTCGTATTGTAAAATTTTTTTTTTTTGAACTAAACTAGATAATTTGAAAGAAAACAAATGGTTTTGCACCTTGTAGTGTTCAAATGGATGTTTTTAGAGAAAATGTACTTACATAGGTATATTTTGAATATTAAATTGTCACATTATTTATGTTGTATGTCATA